TTATCAACAGGGTGCAAGAATGACACGTAATTGTACACCTAACCCTTAACTGTACCCCACAAAACCATAATAAAAAATACTGATTAATGAAAAAAAAAGGACAAACATACGAACTTCACAGTATACTGGATAAATTTACAGTCTATCATATTCAATGATCTCTCAGAAACAAAGAACTGAGTACCACATGTTCTCACTCATAAGTGGACCCTGAACGTTTACCATAATACTATAAGAAAGGATATGGCACTAATGGGATACTACCTGGAATGTGGGGGGTCACATAACATCAATAAGGGTACCTGATCTCAAACCAGGTGAAGTGGGGACCAAAGGGAGACCGAAACTTTACCTGTATGATGACCACTTATCTATCTAATCCTGAATTGAACCCCATGTCTTTAAAGTTTAAAAAATCATTGCTTATTTTTTTCTGATTACAAAATAATACATTTTCATTGCAGAGAATTTAGAACACAGAAAGTACAAGGGAGAAAACTGAAATTACTTTAATATAAACATACATTTTATTTTGATTTTTGAAAATTTTACTCCTGCAGTTCTGGAGGATGTTTTATTTTCAGAAAGATATATTATCTACTGAATTATTTAGGTAAAAGACATAATAAAGACTTCATATTTGATTCTTGTGAAGATACACAGACTGAAGAATTTTTTGTTATATGTAATGAATGCTAAGTCTTCAAAAATCATTTATTCATCTGTTAATATTCTAATATTTATTTTGCAGTAAATAAAATGCAAATCCCTGCCTTCACTGAGCCTGTTTTAAAAATCCATTCATTCCCTGACTTAGAATACACTTACAACATGCCTCCTAGGTGCCAGGCATTGTGCTAGGTGCTGGGAAATACAGTGATGAACAAAGTATCCAGGACATTGTTTTCAATGGAATTTGAATTCTAGTAGAAAATTGACACTATAGGGATTACAAATATGAGTTAAGACATAAGTGGACCTTGAACAACTACCGTAATACTGTAAGAAAAGGATTGACAGTGGCGGCAGGAAACTATTGGGGGTGGCAGGGAGGGGAAGGGAGTGGGATTAACGGTACTCAATATCTATCTGTGGAAAGGGGGGCACACCTCATCAACAAGGGTACCTGCACAATGAATATTTGTATACCTAACCCTTAACTGTACCCCACAATTTTAAAATAAAAATATATATTAAAAAATAAAAAAACAAATGAGTAAGACATGATACTTGCCTTTAAGAGCTTTAGAAGCAAATAAGATAAGTACAAATAGCTGTAATCCAAATGAATAATTCAAAAGTGTTCTCAGTGGGAAACTGAGGAAAACTTCTTAGGAACTGGATCTTCAAGAGCACAGGGAATTTGGATGGATGGGATAATATCAGGGAGTAAGCTGAAGACAGGAACAACTAGGTGGAAAGTTGACATATTAGCAAAGTTTTGAAAGCAGTAAGGCCTGGAGCACAGAAAGTACTTGGCACTTGAGGTTGATAGAATTAGTGAGAGATATAGAAAAGGAAGTTGACGCTGAAATCACTACATAGATCTTTTGCCACATTTTTATTAAAGTACTTTCATAAATATGAAACCATTTACATAGAATATGCTTTCAAAACTTTTTATCAGCCTGGTGCAGTGGCTCAGCCTGTAATCCCAGCACTTTGGGAGGCCGAGGTTAGAGGATTGCCTGAGCCCGTGGGTTCGAGACCAGCCTGGGCAACTTGGTGAGACCTCGCCTCTACAATAAATAAAAAAATAATCTTGGTGTGGTTGCATATGCGTCTGTAGTTCCAGTTACTTGGAAGGCTGAGGTGAAAGGATCGCCTAAGCCCAGCAGGTGGAGGTTGAGGTTGTTGTGAATAGGCCTGTAGGCCAGCCTGGGCAACAGAATGAGACTCCAACTCAAAACAAACAAACAAACAAACAAAAACTTTTTTATCATGTCAAATTTAGAGGGGAAAAAATGCTGTCATAAGTAAGGTTCTCCTTGTTCCTCAAAAGATTCTTACTTCCTGTGGCATTGTTGCAAATATAATCAAGTTAATTATTTTAAAGTTACTATAATTTTTTTACACAAAGAGTGAGATGTTTGTTTAAATTTTTTAATGTTAAATTTTCATGTTATCGTCTTTAAATAAATTAAGGACTTCTTTTTTAAGGTGGGGGTCTCACTCTTGTCGCCCAGGCTGGAGTGCAGTGGCACGCTCACAGCCACCGCAGCCTTGCCCTGCTGGACTTAGGTGATCCTTTCGCGCAGGCGCTGCTAGCCCCACTCCTCGGCCGTCGGCCCCGACCCGTATTCATTCACCCCGCCTATTGCCGTCGGCCCGCCCTGTCGCAACTGGCTCCTCGCGGAGGTCGGGCCCCAGGGCTCCCGCCACCATCACCCCCCCTTTACCCCGAGCGGCACGTGGCCCACGCAACGGTTACTGGATGCCCGGGCCGCTCCGGGTCCGCTCAGGATTGCGACAGAAACTGTAGGTACGGCCCACTTTTCTTGACTCTCTCTTCCCCGGCCCATGGGACTTAGTCCCATAGTCCCAAGTCCTCCGCTGTCATTTCCTTTCGGCGCCCCCCAGGAACGCCTTTCTCCCCGCTCCAGTTCGAGGCAGTTACGTCGACTCCTCTCCCAGGAGCTGGGGAAACCGTCACAGACGTTTTCACTCCTCTCTGGCTCGGCTCTTTACCCTCAACTCTCTTCTTTGTATTCTCCCTTCCTCCTCTATTTCTTTCTCTTATTTTACAGGTGCTCGGAAGTAAGAAAAAGATCTGTCAGTCAGGATTGATTGCATAGTTGGTTTTATTAAGCGCGGGCCATTATACACACGGTGGATCTCTGTAGCGGGACCTTCTCAGGTTCCTGTGGTTGGAGATGAGTTCCAGCACAGGTTGCGATCCTGAGAAGGCCCCTCTCCTCCCCTCACGCCCTCCCCCCCACTTCTGTCTGTTCCTGTTGGCCTCATCACAGTGGACAAGCACAGTAGATCAGTTCTTGGGATGGATTAAGGACTGTTGTGTCACCCATGCAGTGCGCTAGGCACATCTTTCAGGGGTCTTGTAAGAACTCTGCAGGAATATACCAGGTTCCTGACTCCCCTCTATGGGTGTCCTAGAGCCTATAAACAATCTGAGCGGGGGATTGGCCCTGTTGGCACCGAGGGAGCCACCCCATTCTCTGATTTTTCCATAGAGGCAAATAGAATTATTTGTGCAACAGAATTATTTTTTAAAAAAATATTTCTCACACCTAGAGAATTAATGCCCTAAACATTTTGATCACTGGGTGCCTGTTAGAAGATAATTCATTTTTATTGCTTTCTTTGAGCACCAGAATTTATATTGCTGCTTTTCTTTTTTCTTTCTTTCTTTTTTATTTTTTGAGTTGGAGCCTCACTCCGTTGCCCAGGCTGGAGCAGTGGCACACTCATGGCCACCCCAGCGTCAACTTGCTGGGCCCCAACGGTCCTTATGCCTTAGCTTTCCAAGCAGCCAGAACTACCGGCACGCACTACCACGCCCGGCTGACTTTTTTAATGTATTGTAGAGATGATGTCTTGCCAAGTTGCCCGGGCTTCATATTGCTGTTTTTCGATTGGCTCTTGTCATAAGCTCCTGCCCATTACCAGACAAAAGGAAAGAGGCAGGTGCAGTCATACATAGTACTATAGAAAGTACCATTTTTGTAACACTTCTCATTTTGTACTCATCCTTTTTAGAGCATTAGTGAGATAGACTTGGTTAACAAAATCCCATTTACTGGGGTGGGAGCGAAACATTTGAAATTGACAGTACCTGGAACATAGTATGATATACGTTCAGTAAATATCTGTTGAGAATGAATGGATGAGCTTCTGAAACAACCATGCCTTATGCACTTTTGTATTTCCTGGACCTAGAACTAAGTCTAGGAATAGTAAGCCCACAAGCATGAATTAGAGATGTCTTGTTTAGGGAGAAGCCTTGCTTAAAGAGAAGCATTCGTCAAATATTTTTAGAGAATCTCTTACTTTGCCAGAAATTGTTTCAGGCATTGTGACTACAATGATAACAAAAATTAGCTAGATCCTTGTTCTTATGAAGCTTAAATTTTATTGAGGGAAGATAGAAAATAAACAGGTAAACAATATATGTACAAGGAATGTTGGATTTTGGTAAATGCAGTGAAGTAAAACAGTATGGGGTGAGAAAGATGGGCGCAGGGTTTACTTTAGATTGATTGATTAGGGAAGTCCTCTTTGAAAAGCTATCATTTGTGCTGAGACCTCAGTGATACAAAAAAGACAACCATGGAAATATTTGGGATACAGGGCATACAGGTAAAGGCACTCCCATTGCAAAAGCCCCAAACTAGGAAAGAGCTTGAGTCCTTCAGAGAACATCATAAAGACTGCTGCAGCTGGAATGTAAAGAAAGGGTTGCAAGATGAGCTTGGAGAGATGACTAGGGGCCAAATCATGCAGGGCTTTTAACAGGCCATGAAGATCTATATACCCATGGAATAAGTCTGGAATTTATATGAAATGTAATGGGAAACCAGTAGAGAGATTTTGGGAAGTGGATGATATGATATAATTGACTTTTTTTTTTTTTTTTTTTTGAGTTGGAATCTCACTCTGTCACCCAGGCTGGAGTGCGGTGGCACACTCCCAACCACCGTAGCCTCAACCTGCTGGGCTCTGGCAATCCTTCTGCCTCAGCCTTCCAACTAGCCAGAACTATAGGCATGCGCTACCATGCCCAGATAATTTTTGATTTATTGTAGAGATGAGGTCTTGCCTAGTTGCCTGGGTGGGTTTCAAACCCGCAGACTCAGGCAATCCACTCACCTCGGCCTCCCAAAGTGCTGGGATTATGGGCTGAGCCACCGAACCCAGCCTGATTTACATTTTTTAAAGATTTGTTTTGCTTACTATGTGGTGACTGGATCACAGGGGATGGGGAGCAAGATTAGTAGCAGAAGAAAATTGCAGAAATCCAAGAAGGAATCACAAGTTAATGATAAAGTGGCAGAGAAGTGGAAGTAAGTGAGATATATTTGAAGGCAGAGCCTACAGATCTTTTGATATTTTGATTAGAGGGGTGAAAAAAAGGAGGAGTCACCCCTAGCTCCTAGGCTTTTGTCATGAGCTTGTGTGGATGGCTGTGCTTATTAGACATTAAGGTAAGTTGATTCTTCAGCTCTGTGCAGAAGGCAATAGACCAAAGATACAAATGTGGGAGTCACCAACATGGAAAACTCCCTAGGGCAAGTGTGCTCATGGAGAAACTTACAGTGACTAGTGTAAAGTGGAGGAAAAGAAGCAAGCAAAGGAGATGGTGGAATAGCTAGAGAATAGGAATAGCTAGGAAGAAAATCTGAAATGTGGTAACATAAAAGCCATGACAACAAAACAGGGCCAATGCTACTGAATCATGCTTAGAGTGGTATATGCCTTGGCAAGTACTATGAAGAGAAAATGTGGTGTGAGGAAGCGGACATAGAATTATAGACATCCTAATGGGCTCGGTGGCTCAGCCTGTAATCCTGCACCTTTGGGAGGCTGAGGTGAGTGGATTGCCTGAGCCCACAGGTTCGAGACCTGCCTGGGCAGCGAGATCTCATCTGTACAATAAATCAAAAAACCAGCCGGGCATGGTAGCACACACCTATAACTCCAGCTACTCAGAAGGCTGAGGCGGAAGGATCGCCGGAGCCCAGCAGGTCGAGGCTGCGGTGGCCGGGAGCGGCCACTGCACTCCAGTCTGGGCGACAGAGTGAGACTCCAACTCAAAAAAAAAAAAAAAGAATTATAGACATCCCAAGATATTTTACTATGAAGGAAAGTCAAGTCATAGAGGTATCAGAGGAAGGTATTGGGTGAAATTAGGGTTTTAGAAGATGAGGATACTTAAGCATGTTTTTAGAATAATGAGAATGATCCATTGGGGGTCAGAGAATGATGGTATGAGAGAGTGGATATATTTTAGGAGTGAGGTCTTGGGGAAAGCAAGAGGGAATGGGATCCAGGGATGTGTAGAAATGTTGGTCTTGGATAGGAACGGGAACATATAATTTCTAGTAATAAGAAGAAAACCAATGAGTATGTGTAGAGATGCAGATAAATGGGTAAAGTCAGTGGTCAGAGGTGAGAAAATTTCTGCCTGATATTGATTCTCTTTTTCAATGAAGTGTAAGGTATGAGGCAAGATGAGTAAGGTAGGAGTGTTTTGGTAGGAGGCAAGATCAGTAAGAGAGTAATGTTTTGGTAGGAGGCTTAAAGGGAGAAGAGATGATATAGTAATGTTGGAGGAAGATGGAAATCAATCAGGACTAAAGAAGCTTAGTAGCACAGCTAGTATGCTGCATAGTAACAAAGTTGAGTGGCCTCATGAGGGTGTCTGAGATACAATGTAAGAAATACATGATAGGAGCCAAGGAGATCAAGGAACTGTTAAGACCAGAATGTTGGTGGATGGACTACCAGGGTTTTAGTGACTAAGTTAGTAGCTAAACTAGAATTTAAACTCAGCTATCCTACTCGACGAATTACCATTTTATTGAGAAATGGTTCACAGCATTACTCTTTTGTGCCACTTACCTTTCCAGTCAGCTTTTTTTTTTTTAATTATGGCTTGATTTTTTTTTTGTCCATACATTAAAATTCTAGACTTTTAGCCGGGCTCAGTGGCTCAGCCTGTAATCCTGTGCCTTTGGGAGGCTGAGGTGAGTGGATTGCCTGAGCCTGCAGGTTCGAGACTCGCCTGGGCAGCGAGACCTCATCTCTACAATAAATCAAAAAATCAGCCGGGCGTGGTAGCGCATGCCTGTAATTCTGGCTGCTTGGAAGGCTGAGGCGGAAGGATTGCCGGAGGCCAGCAGGTCGAGGCTGCGGTGGCTGGGAGCGGCCACTGCTCTCCAGTCTGGGCGACAGAGTGAGACTCCAACTCAAAAATAAATAAATAAATAATTCTAGACTTTTATAGACTGGTACTTCTGTCATGTCTTTCATACTTTAATGTGTACTTATTAAACTATTTGTCTTGTTTTTCTTTATTTTTTTAACCATTTCCATCAATATGTGTTTGTTTGTTTATTTATTTATTTTTTGAGTCGGAGTCTCACTCTGTAGCCCAGGCTGCAGTGTAGAGGCATGCTCACGGCCACCACAGCCTCAACCTGCTGGACCCAGGTGATTCTTCCACTTCAGGCTTCCAAGTAGCTGGAACCACAGGCATATGCTGCTACGCCCAGCTAATTTTTTAATTTATTGTAGAGATGAGGTCTTGCCATGTTGCTTAGCCTGGTCTTGAACCCCTGAGCTCAGGCAATCCTCTCACCTCCACTTCCCAAAGTGCTGGGAATATGTGTTTATTAAAGTACAAAAGTCTACCTCTTAGATGGGAAAGGGAAGATGAAGGATGAAATTTGGAAATCCTTACAGAGCTGGGATGGCCAGTATTAAGGAGACCTGATCTAACAACAATAATAATAATAATAGATT